CGATGACCACGACCACGCTTTTTTTTTTTTTCTTTCTCTTTCTAATCTACAGTCATCGGTGACCAACGACCGATGACCACCATTGTTGGGGTTTACGGACAACCACAGAGTACCGACTCTTTGCTTCGTGCTCACCGAGGCGAAATAGATGAGTTTTTGACGAAGAAGATGAGTAGATCTACATTAGATCCGACTAGATCTAAACAAAAAAATAATTGTCGAAGTACAAGTATCTCTCTATATCTGTTCCTTTCCTTCGATCTCTCATTTTTAATACTTTTTTTGCACTATACACTTTTATTTTCCTGTTATAATGGAGAAATTTTTTTAATTTTGAACAAATTGTTTTCGAGTTTTTATTATAGGCGGTGAAAATTGTAAAATTTTATAGTTTCAATTTTTTTGGTGCTGAATTGAATCATTCTTTAGAATTTTAATATTTTACAATTTCATAATTTTCTTTAGAACTGTAAAATTTTATAATTTTATAACATATTTTTCTGTTTGATTAATAAAGATAAATATTTAATAAAATCATACTTTGAAACTACAACATTTTACAATTTTAAAACTTACTTTTTAGTTTGATCAATATTGCAAATTTACTTAAACCCTACAAAAATTAAAAATAACATTTATTTTTTTTCATTGTTATGTTTGTTGTTCTCAGTTTTTTTTTTTTTTTTTTTTTTTTTTTCTTCTTCTTCTTTTTTTAATTTATTAATATTTAACACATTGTGCTATATTTTTTCACTTTAATTTTGCAGTTTATTCTTCTTCTTTTTTCCGACAATATTCTAGATATTCCAGTGAGTCTCCGATGATATTTTTTATGTCCATCGAATATTCTAGACATTTCGACGACTTCCGGTGATGTTTAGAACATTCCGGCGATACTCCGGCGAATTTTTGATGATATTCCGACGACTTCTGGTGATGTTAAATATTCCGATGAGACTCCGATAACCGTCTGACCGAAGTCCAATGGTAGCAAGGTCTATAAGTGTTTTTAATATTTTTTTTAAAAAAAAATAGAATTTTTTAGTAATAATTAAAGAATATATAGCAATACATAGTCAATATTTTTATTTTGAGATTAATAGATAAATTTTTAATGTATCAGACTTATGAGTGGAGTTTTCATAATAACTTTAATGTAATGGGCCCTTTATAGTAATTGTTTATCTATATTGACCCAATACATTGTATCTTAGCCATCAAAGATCTTGTGAGACGAGCGCATGAATAAATTATTATTACAAGGAAAATTAAAACAACAAATATACTTAGATTATAAATTATTCTTACTAATTTTAGAACATTAATATTATATTTTAAATTTTTAATTTCTAATAAATAGGTTATTTATTAATAAATCATCAAGTTTTAACTGTATTTAATAATATAAATTTTATTTTATTATAGATTTAATATTTATTATTATATTGGTGAATAGTTAAAATTTTTACTTTTTCAATTAATTTGTTAAATAAAAAATTCTGATAAAGAGATATTTATAATTTTTCAAAATCATAAAAAATAATTCGTATTTTAAATAAATCCATAAGGATGTATTTGTAATTTACCCTTATATACAATAAACAAAACCGACCGACCAGCCAAACCAATCAGAGATTCACAGATAGTATAGTCCTAAACCTTTCTTATTTATCTCCGTCGCTCAATCTCTATCCATCGCTCAGGGGCAAAGTCAAGAAAGAAGGCAAATTTCCGCGAACTCCCCACAGTCAAACGATCGGACGGTGCATTATTAAACCCCTAATTTTTCACAATCCAAACAAAGCAAACCAAACCACCATGGAGCCGCCGCACAAACCCCAGGGAATCTGACCTACCCACGTTCGCCGCCATAAAAGTGAAGTCTCCACCCCACGCTTTCCAAGAGAGAGATCAAACTAAGCATGGCAAATTAATCATAATTTAAAACATAGCTGACTTTGAGAAACTTAAACATCACTGTTTGTTGCTTAATAACACAAAAAGTTGATAATAGAAGTATAATTCCTTATGATAGCTACATTTTTTTAAATAAACATTTTATTTTAAATCGTTGTTAACATGAGTTGCAAACAAATATTCTAACATATCATTTTATAAGCAGTCCATTTAAATTGGTGTCTTATAGACAGGGTTTATAAAGGGAAAAGTAGAACACAATACCAATTGTTAGGCTATTTTTTTTTTGGACAGATTGAACTAGCTTAAATTAGTATTTAAAATTATTAATTTTTGAAATTATATTATTTTAGATTGTGTATTCTATTTTTTATTTAAATTGATTCGAAATTATAAAGAGTGTTGATAAATTCTTATTTTAAAACGTAGCCAAAGAATAAGAAAAAGCGTTCGATGACCCCCCCCCAAAATAAGAATTAAGGCCTTGTTTGGGAACTTTCTATTTTAGTCAAAAAAGTTATTAAATTAGTCAAAAAGTCAACAACCTATACCAAAAGCCAAAGATTCTTTTTTCTCTCTACTTTTTTGCACATCTTTTCATAAAAAGCTAAAAAGTCACCTAAACATACTAGTTCTTTTTAGCTCATATTTTAACCAAATAGCTAAAAAATTACTAAATTAATCTGTTCCCAAACAAGGCTTAAGGATTCTAGTCACCCTTCCGGACCAATTGTATAACAACAAAACCACTCCCCCTCACATTAATATTTATTTTGTATTTTAGTCCTCTCTTAAAATTCAATAGTTTTGTATATAGAGATAACATGTCAGCTAAATGATTAATCCAAATTAATTTTTTTTAAGCTGAATGTCAAAATTTTATATTTCCCTGAATTATTAGTCCAATTCAACCAATATTATAAATAAAATAAGGGCAAATTACTCATAATCATTTTTAAAAAGTGTGTATTCTATTTCATTCAAACCTTTTAGATAGAGCCAAAAAGTCTCATACCCATTTATCTTCTCATTTTTCTTGCACCTTGTTTCTTTTCTGTATCTCTTTTTCTCTGATATTGGCGATGACCACGACCACGCTTTTTTTTTTTTTTTTCTTTCTTTCTAATCTACAGTCATCGTGACCAACGACCGATGACACCATTGATTGGCGGTTTACGGACAACCACAGAGTCACTGACTTTTTGCTTCGTGCTCACCGAGGTGAAATAGATGAGTTTTTGACGAAGAAGATGAGTAAGATCTACATTAGATCCGACTAGATCTAAACAAAAAAATAATTGTCGAAGTACAAGTATCTCTCTATATCTGTTCATTTCCTTCGATCTCTCATTTTATAACTTTTTTTTTGTACTATGCACTTTTTTTTCCTATTATAATGGAGAATTTTTTAATTTTGAACAAATTGTTTTCGAGTTTTTATTATAGGCAGTGAAAATTGTAAAAATTTTATAGTTTTCAATTTTTTTGGTGCTGAATTGAATCATTCTTTAGAATTTAATATTTTACAATTTCATAATTTTCTTTAGAACTGTAAAATTTTATAATTTTATAACATATTTTTCTGTTTGATTAATAAAAATAAATATTTAATAAAATCATACTTTGAAACTAACAACATTTTACAGTTTTAAAACTTACTTTTTAGTTTGATCAATATTGCAAATTTACTTAAACCTACAAAAATTAAAAATAACATATATTTTTTTCATTGTTATGTTTGTTGTTCTCAGTTTTTTTTTCTTCTTCTTCTTCTTCTTCTTCTTCTTCTTCTTCTTCTTTTTTTTTTAATTTATCAATATTTAACACATTGTGCTATATTTTTTCACTTAAATTTTGCAGTTTATTCTTCTTCTTTTTTCGACAATATTCTAGATATTCCAGTGAGTCTCCGATGATATTTTTTATGTCCATCGAATATTCTAGACATTTCGACGACTTCCGGTGATGTTTAGAACATTCCGGCGATACTCCGGCGAATTTTTGATGATATTCCGACGACTTCTGGTGATGTTAAATATTCCGATGAGACTCCGATAACCGTCTGACCGAAGTCCAATGGTAGCAAGGTCTATAAGTGTTTTTAATATTTTTTTTAAAAAAATAATATAAATTTTTAGTAATAATTAAAAATATATAGCACTAATTAGTACAAATATTTTATTTTGAGATTAAATAGATTTAAATTTTATGTATACGACTTATGAGTAAGTTTTCGTAAAATAACTTTAATGTAATGGGCTTAGTAATGTTCTATTTCTATATTGACCCAATACATTGTATCTTAGCCCATCAAAGATCTTGTAGAGACGAGCCCACTGGAATAAAATTATTATACAGGAAAAATTATAAACACACGAAATTTACTTAATTATAAATTATTTTTAAATAATTTTAGAAATTATTTATATTTTTTTAAAATTTTAATTTCATAATAAATAATATATTTATTATATATAATTATCAAGTTAATTAATTGTATTTAATAATATTAAAATTTTATTTTAAATTTAATTAAATTAATATTATTATATAGTGGATAGTTAAAAATTTTACTTTTTCG